TTCCTTTGTTTCTCCGGTGCCGATGATACATCGCCGCGGTCAGAATTGCTTAACTCTAACTCCAGTGAGTCATTAGAATCGAACACGCACGTATGTATGTATCTACATTTACAGAACGCGGTGATGCTCGTCACGGTTGTGCGTGGCCGCGAGATAACAGCCACGGCGAGGCACCGATGCAAATGAAAAATCGCGTGACAAAGATAGGGGATTACAGCTGTTGCGCAATCGCGCGCTTAATGATTTCGACGTATAATAAAACCGGGGAGAGAGATGTACATGCGTGGACGCTTCGTTCGAATCATCGCTGCTCGTTTGTCGAGAGTTAACCCTTTGCTAACTCGACAAAGTCCCTTCTGGAGGAACATGGTACTTAAATCTAGCTAACAGCACGTACCTTCTCTTTTTATAATTAAGTTCAGATAATTTAAGTTTGATGCTGTATGATGCGATGTATAATAATATAGTATCTGAACAGACTACAGTGAAAGCAATAATAAACGACGTAAGAGGTATAAAAGAATTTCGGAGGGAATTTCTGAATACAGTCCTGAGTCGATTGACACTTGCATTAATTTACGTAAACTAGACTTCTTGTTGCTTCTTATGAAAATTTAAGTAATGGCGGAGGATATTATTCTGTCAGAGATTGAAACTATGTATCATTGACTCTTGTTGTATGTATCATTAACTATTGTAAGTGATTAACTTTTGACATTTAAAGAAACTTATAATATATATACTCGTATTTTAATATAAAATATACTTTAAATAAAGTAAGTACTTAAATAAAATAATATATTCAAGGAATAAAAGTGGAAGGAATGAAAAGAAGTTTACAATGCAATTAGAAAATGCACTTTTGTAAATGATCAACTTTTAAAGCTTACGATATATACACACTCGTATAGAAGACGCTTTAAATAAAATGATGTATCGAAAAAATACAAATAATCCCGAAACGAAGAAATTAATTCCTAAGCAAGCTAATGCACAAAAATCCAGACGCTCGCGCGTCTTATCATCACTTGCGTGTATCCTCTTCTTGTAATCGTACGTTCTTCTTCTCCCTTTCTTCCCCCCTCCCCCCCTTAATCGAACCGAATGCAAATCTTCAACGAAACGACTTGAAGAAGTGCGCTCGCAAGAGCAGGAGCTGCTAATTTTACGGTGGTCCTCGCTGTGGAATCCGAGGGAGGCCGTTGCACTCTCCGCGCTAAGTGCAATAACGCGATAATTCGCCGGTTCGATTTTTCGCAGATATTTTCGGCTGGCTCACTCGTCTCACCAGGGGGAACAGGCTCGACGAGGCGTTCTTTTCCACGCGCGTTCATCGAACCATCGCGCGACAGCGTGCCGCGAGCGCAATTAAGCCGAGCGGAGCCGCATGCAAATCGGCGCATTGTCTTGACTTGAGGTGGCACCGGGTGTCGCCGGGCTTTCATGAGCACGAGCACGAGCACGAGCACGAGCACTCGCGACGAGCCGCGGCTCTTTTGCCTAATTCCTCGAACCAGGCGTCGTCTTGACGCCTCTGCTCGCGATACGCTAGCCTCCCCCCGCCATTGTTTCCCCGATTTTTTCTTCTTCACTCATCTCACGCGCGCATGCCTCTTCTCCTCCGCCACCCTTTTCTGCGTCTTTGCGTTTTCTCTTTTCGTGGAAGATGATTTCACGCCACGCGTTTTTTTTTTTTTTTTTGATGCCCCGTGGGAGTTTTACGACACGACCGGAAACGTTGATTGAGGAATCTTCGTTTTTTGATCATATGGATCGATTATTTTTTTTAAAGGAAGATTTGATTTTAGTCTTGGTGTCTGTTTGTGAGTTGCATTTTTAGAACAAGTGATGTTGCTATATTTTTGGCACACGGTATGATGGAAGCGTCGTTTGAAGCGATCGGTTTGAGTTTCACTGTGTCGTGTTTGCCTCTTTAAAATTCAATAGATAGCGATAGATATCGAGGTATAGAGCACCGACCATTTTCTCTTTCTTCGTTTCTCTTTTCCGAAAGGCACGGAAATTGTCAATTTTAAATTTACAGGAATTACAGAGGAAGCCTTAACACGTTCACGTATAATAAAAATTTTATCGAGCTGCAAACGACAGGTGATTTATTTTCGAACTAATCGCGACGTCCAAATTTTTATTAGCCACATTTTGTCCGAGTGCTCAGACTGTCACATTTTAATAGCTATATCATGAATGCTATAGCATCCACGTCGATACAGATCAAATTCATGTCATATTCCATGTCGCCACGAAAATCAATGCTATAGCATTTTTTCACGTCCGTTAAAACCCTCGCGACTTCACTGTATCTACGATAAATACAAAACCAAGTAGCAAAGGCGAGAAAGGAACTGAAAAACCAAACGAGACCGAACAACCAACGTAAAATTTCTCGCACGTCGAAGAGCGAACGAAGCAGAGGGAACCGATAGAACAAAAATTATTTAAAGATCGTACACTGGCCTCTCTCTCTCTCTCTCTCTCTCTCTCTCTCTCTCTCTCTCGTTTCTGTGCGAACGTCACAGAAATGTCTGCCAGAGTGTTGTGCCAGAGCAGAGCTGTTGGTTTAAGCGCAACGGGGATTCCGTAAGAGTCCTTTGTCCTTTCTCGATCCCAGTCAGGAACACCGTGGCCGGTTCGGTTCGCATAAACGGGAAACGGGTTTCAGTCAGAAAGAGCTTTGGTAGTTCAGCGTAAAGGAACGGTGCTTTGTCACAGGGGAAGCAGAGCAAAAAAGAGAAAGAAGAAAGAAGAAAGAGAGAGAGACAAAGAAAAAAGAAGAAGCGAACGCACCTTTTTTTTCAATCGGTCTCTCTTCCACCGAAATAGTCCGAACGTGTTCCTCTTTCCTCCTCGTCGTTTCCTTTCTCTTTTCAACTGGCTCTCCGTTGCATGCCGAAGAAACGAAGGGCAACGAAAAAGCTGATGTTAGGCGAACGCAAATGAATACGCATACAGAAAAGGGGGAGGAGGGGAGGGGGAGGGGCAGAAGGAGAAACGACCATTCTGCAGCGTGCTTCTAATGTTTGCGCATGCTTTTCGGATTTTTGCAAGGAACACTTGGCTCTTTTTAGCAGGAAACTTTTGGGAAAAAATTCACCCAAAAGAATGGAGTGACTCTTTGTTGGTTTGGAGTGGAGGATTTTTGAAAGGTTTGCAAGGGTTGGCGTTTTCTCTCTCTCTCTCTTTCTCTCTCGATCTTTTGTCGATGCTACGTTGTATGTAATAATACTTTAGAGAGAATATTCGTGAAATTAGCGGAAGCACTCGCGTATTCGGGTATTTGACGCTGGTTGACAGATTAATTTGTTTATCATTCATACTTTACAGTGTTATATGTGTTCGATATTAATTTCTCTTTAGGGTATTAATTACAGCGGTGCCGTGCCTGTGTTAAGTAATAAAATTTCGTAGGTCAATAAATGTAATTGTAAATTGGATATTATCTGATATTGTGATACGCGGTAACAACTTAACGTTCACTCGTCATATATATATATATATATTAATCGTTATTTCAGTGTCGAATTTCGATGACCGCGTAATGAATTGCGACGTAATTGTCTATGAATACACGAAAAAGTAAAATATTGCGCGAATCAGAAAATAGCAAAAGATTAAATTTTTTAATAATCGGTGGTGATTAGCACCTGCGTGCGTGTGAGTTATTCAAAAGACAAGTGGATCTACTTCACTATTTGTATGCTTCTCAATTTTTACATGTATATGTCACAAAAACGAAAGCAACATTTCAATTTTTCTATGAAAGCAAGTTTTACTTTTTGTCGTAAAAAGATGACACGAATAATAATAAATCCCACAACTTCCAAAACCATCACTTCATTCTGCTCTATAATTTACGATAATCGATCGCTCTCAAATAGAACTGAAAAAGAAAAATCAAGCTCACAGAGTACAGCCTGAATTCAAAGTAAAAAGTAAGCCTAAATTGTATCCTACAAGAACAAAAAATTGTGTCACATTCTAGAAAGAATCAATATTACGATGGTCCAACTACAATATTTATCCAAACAAAACAAAATTAAAAAAAAAAAATGTAACATCGATGTCCCAAATTCTTTCTAAACGCTCTTCCCGCCCATCGCGCTTACTGAAACTGCATCGGGCTGCTCCTGGTCATCGGTTTGACACGAGGGTTGAAACAAATAAAAAAGAAAAAAAAAAAAAGAAGAAAAAGGAAAAAAGAGAAAAAAAAGGGGGAAAAAAAGAACGGGGACGGTAATTAAATTTCATTACGCGAACACTCGAGACAGCAATGGAAAAACACGACAGCCGGCCCATCGAAGGTCCCGTGTTAAACGTTTGAGAGCCGCTGACCATAGTGATCGTTGTTGGCTTTGCTTTCGAAGCCTCCACCCCCTCGATCGACAATCGCAACCCCTGCGCGCGGTGCACGGCAGCGAGCGCCGCTCGCGTTTCATTGTTGTGAACGCATGCAAATTGCGATCCCGGTGCCGGGACGAGTATCAATTCTAACAGGATTAATTCGAGTGCAGTCATTGTTTTTTGCGCATCACAAAAAGCCTACCCCCTATTTCTGCAACGACGGCCACCGTTTAGCCTCGTTTCGAACAATGTCCAACCGGCCTGCTCCGACCTACAGTCTTTCTCTCTCTCTCTCTTTCGCGAAAAAGAGACGCCCGGTTTCGAAATTGCGATCAATGAGTTGTAAAATGAGGGTAATGTACAGTTTTTGATCAATTCGCTCTTTGATTTGTACCTTTTTTTCTTTCTTTCGATACCTAGAAAAGGCAGAAGGATAAAATAGTGGATTTGGTTGGAATATTTGTTGTTATTTGTACTCTTTGTGAATAAAATGAATGAAATGTATCCTGTTTTCGAGTCATAAAAATGTCAGTAGAAATGCCTGAGATGACTTGAAACTATAATAGAATTTTTTCTTCTTCTTGTAGATTCTTTCAAATATCGATTTCTCTGCGAGAGAATTTCCACGGACAATCTCGAGGTGTTTTAACAAAAGATGAAATTTTTCTGTTACAGAAGGATGATTTCACCGCAGTTAGCTCTGCTTTGCGCCAATATCTGCCTGAGCGAGACACGCCATTCATTTTGGACGTTGATCTGGATTTCTTCAGTACCAAGAATCCTTTTAAAACGCTCTACAATCGCATCAATCTTTACGACAAACTCTCACCCATTTACGCTTTCAATCGACCTGATTCAACAGATCCTGAGGTGAGTACAACAACAAACGTCAAATTGTATCAATCGTGTTACTAAAAAAAAAATATAATTACTGTTTGCAAGTATCAGGGTACTTGGAAGATATAAGACGAACCTAGATAATCATTAGGAATTGAATAAAATCTTTGGAATCATCTTTTTCTTGTCTATGTCCTTTTTATCTGTTCGGCGATAAATTTCTTAACGTTTCTATTGCTAAATTTCTCATTGTATTTGTCAGTCTAACGTTGGTCTGATATATATTTCATAAATAATTCGACAAAAAAACTACGACAGATTAATAAAATAAAATTTTGTATTCTAAATTCATATACGCTCCTTTCTTTCGTAAATAATCTGGACCAATTATTACGTTTCACACGAAAGTAACAAGTGCCCTGGTACTTGCGAGCAGGACTGCATGCGTTCATACATACACACACGTCTCGATAATTGCGTAAAACGAACGGATACTGCCGAAAGTCCCCGATACACCTTCAATTACAAGCCAAAGTCATTCAATCTAACCATTAACATACCTCTCTTATCTCTCCCTCGAATCAATTCACTTTACCTCGCAAGGAGAGCTTGCAAAACTCGGCATGCATACTTGCATAAATTACACCCTGCGAATCGTAACGCTCGTCCAGCAATAAATTGACTTCCCGAGCTCATCTAAACCGAAAAAGAAACGAAACAAAAGAGCAGAAAGAAAGATGGGCTGTAAAACGCGATCTGTGCGTTAAACGGCTGCCATTTTGTATCATCAGATAGGTCAAAACCGGATTATGTCCCACGATTTAATTGCTGCTATGTAGAGACGCGAAATGTCCGAAGGAACTCTTTCTCTCTCTCTCTCTCTCTCTCTCTCTCTCTCTCCTAGACAAGACCGCTCGTCAGCAAAGCCAGTTCGAACTAGGGCCGAATTACATGCTGAACAACGAGCCCCTCGGCGAAAGACGGATTTCGCGATGTTGAGGCTCGTGGAACAGCCGCTAAAACTAGAGTGAACTGAAGGCTGAACATGAGAAAGAGAGAGGGAGTGACAGAGGGACAGAGAGGGGGTGGCGGGATATGTACTGGCAACGAGCGGAAGATTTGCGAATAATTAGGTGGGCCGACAATAGCCGAGGTCCCGTAGCAGACCGGATACACAATGTGGCCTGCCACCAGCCGGATAATAGACAGAGAACGAACGACTCTATGGGGTTTTAGGATTCGACGGACATAATGGCACTGGCCCATTGTCTACCTAGCTGCAGACTGCCAACATCCGCTTTCGAGGGCGGCTACGTCGGCTCATCTGCATGCCAGCCTTCAATCCTTCGAGTGTTTGGTTTCCAGCATCGTGGATGCAAATTTCCATCGTCGCGGATCCAGCGTTCCCGATGTTCGATTGCCATCGATCACGCGAAACGATATACGGGTCGCTGCGCCGCGTCTATTGTTCTTAGGAAAGAGGAAACTGGGGTGGGCGATGATTTCGTGATTTGTACATGCTTCTACGATCGATTTAAAGCCGCTCTCTCTTTCTCTCCTAGGTGCTGTTGGTTCTTGCGATTTTTGAGAGATTTCTGATTGTTTCGATGCTTCGGTGAAATGAGAGTTTTCGGTCGGATCTTTTCAGTCGCTCGAGGATATTAAGAGAATATTTCCATATATTGTGGGAGAATGGTATGATTGTCCTTTGCGTAGAATACATTCCAGGAAAGTGCGATTCAGCTGGTTCAGCTTGTCTGAGTCTTATCGTCAACAACCATTGTTCTTATATAAGAGACTCCATAGCATGAGTTTAAAGTTGCACTGTAGTTTATTTACTGACGGTTAGGTGAAATGCTTAGAAATTTATAAAAGAGTGCCTTTGAGTGTTTCAACAAATTGGTAATTGTTCTTTGTGAAATTGCATATAAATCATCATAAATCTCCTCTTATTGATAGTCTTTCGTTCTAAAACCGTATCTACTTGATGTAAACTCATCTGAAACTAAACTAAAAACTACAAACTTATCTTATCTCTAATATAAGATACAAGAAGGAGTTACAAGTATTTTAGAAAAATTTCATCCATCGATCTCGGCGATCGAGCGCAGAAATTCTTCCTCCAACGGAACCGGTCCTAACGATCGTCGTCCAATGGATCCATCGGTCCCATGTCACAATGCACGATCGTCCAATTAATAATTCACGAAGCAAATCAGCGAAACCGTGACTCGTTCATTCATCCTTCGACGATCTTTCGACTCTCCTCTCCCGTAGCCCGTGCATACTTCTCACGAATTTCCATGCGATCCCTCGCAGCGTGCCGCGACCCACTTTGTGCCAGCGATCCGCAAACGTCGATCCGATTCGCGGCTTCTCACGAATTTCCATGCGACCGTTCCTCCAACGAGCCGTTTCGTTCGGATCGTCTCTCGATCGTAGCGAAGGAAAAAGATACATATCCGTCCTCACCGTGGGATTTTCAGTGGCAAAACCCGCAGCGAAATATCGTTTGGCGTCGTTATGCTAATTCGCCCCGGTCCGGTTAAATGTGTGCCAGCCTGCCTTTGGAAAAAAGGAGTCGGCTCTCCCTTCCTTTACGGGCGAACAGCGCGGACTCACCGGTTCGTGCTGTTAGCGCTTCCCGTGCATAAAATCACGCGCGCTGGGGACACGGTGGCGAGGTGTGTTCCCCGCGTGTGTTGCACGCACGGTGGATGCCTCGCTGTGGATCTAATGTATGCGGGCACGCTGTGCTACCTGTCTTACCCTGAGAACTCCGCGCCGCATTGTGATTGTAATCGCCGACTCTTGCGGGTCAGCCCGCGGCTTAACCGGGGTCAGGGTCATTTCTGAATTATTTAAATTACGCAACCCGCCCTCCTTCCTCGGGAGGACAAGTTTACAAGCGGCTGTGCGCATACGTGCGTATCCGTGCGTGTTATAGGGAGTGCTCGCGCACGATGCTCGACGACGGTGGAGTGACTCCACGTGAAGAAAAACGCAGAGTGAGGTGGTTCTGCGTGCGAGGCGAGAAACGCAGTATCAATGATACGCGTGCACTGAGCTTGAACTTCGATGCGATGGTTTATCGAGTCGAAAATTTATTTTACAGATAGTAGGAGCCTTGAAAAGTTTGATCGAGGAAGATTTTTATATTAGATTTTGTATATAATAAAGGAGTGACCAAAGTAATCGGTGCTCTGTTGTTTCCGAGGGATTAAAATGTTCAGATAATACGCTGTACAAGGATTGATAATTGAAAAATAGAACTGTGTCGATTTGAAATATTATGATAATTGAAATAATACGATAATTGAAAAATAGAACTGTGTCGATTTGAAATATTATGATCGACATTTCTGTAGTGAAATTAACTTTTTTTTTCGAAAGAAAAACTCGTACCATCATTCGACTCAAAGATATATAAGTAAAACAGACTAATAACACGTATCTACAAACAGTATGATAGTAATAGTAATAATAAGTGGAAGTACTATACAAGGATTGTACGATAATTTAGTTGAAAAATAGAACTGTGTCGATTTGAAATATTATGATCGACATTTCTGTAGTGAAATTAACTTTTTTTTTCAAAAGAAAAACTCGTACCATCATTCGACTCAAAGATATATAAGTAAAACAAACTAATAACACGTATCTACAGACAGTATGATAGTAATAGTAATAACAAATGGAAGTAGAATTACGTCTCTACCCAGTAGATTTTCAAAATCATTTTTCTCAGAAACGAAACCTCACATGCAAAAACTTTATTCACAGTTTCGTCTCCTTTCTCTTTTTTTCACAAGGAATCGTTTCTTGTTCGCTTGTACCACCATGTTCACCGAACACCCTGTACACACATGCGTGCAACGTGACCGCGTCCGCGCGATCTTTTGTTGTAATTCAGCGCGAACTGAACGAACGTAGGGTAAGTATAAAAAAGGTGCAGAAAGAGGGGACGAGAGATCTCTAAAGAAAGAGAGAGAGAGAGAGAGAGAGAGAGAGAAATATGGAAGAGACTTTCAGTACGATAAGGAGACACGAATAGGATTTAAAGGTGCTTCGTTTGATGACTGTTGTTTGTTGATTGATGATCGATGCCCGATCAGATTCCGGTAGAATGTGTTCATGTGAGAAAGAATTTTTAGGACGGAGGGGTATGAATGGTAGGATTCTCTTTGATTATGGTAATTCTTTTTTTTTCGGATGGAAAGGAGAGACGGGGCAGGAATGTTAAAGGGGAATTTGGTGAGCGAGGTTGTTGCGAATGGGGAGACGGAAGCGGGTTTTTGGGTCAAGATGTTGGACGGATTAAAGGTATGTTTGCTGAAAGTGAAGTTCGTCGTGGTACACGGCTGCAGTATTTCCTATACTTTACATATGAAACGTAGAAAATACTATTATCCGGTAGCGCGCATTGTTAAACGTAAATATTTTGTAATATTATGCAAATTCACGTTTTTCAAAATAGCACTCGGACAGTCTACTAACAAGTAATAGGGAAAGACCCGAAGTTTATACAAATTGTAACAAACTGCTAAACTCTATAGTAAAAATTGTATACTATAATATTTTCGATTACGTATAGTTAATCGATATTTTTGATCAACCTACGAAATAAAATCAATTCCAAATATTTCCAGCAAACTCACAAAAAAAATCACAAAAACTCACACTTACATTTAAACTTATAGAAGAAACCACAGAAATGTTGTGATTATTAACGACTAAATTTTGATATTTTTATTACAGATCTATTACAGAGATTATTCCTTTTTAATTGATTGAATAGCTCACGATCAAAGAGAAAGAATTTAACATTATTACGTCGATCCTTCTTCCTGTCAGATTCAAATTTCAAAAGAAAATGCTCTTCTCGAAATTTTTCCGTAGTCTCGTTGCAGGTAGTCTCGTTCCACGATTGATCGAAGACACGTTTGAATATCAATCGATCGACTCATCGGGATCGGTCGAATCCTTTCGGCAGCGATTCTTTTTCTCAGGATGGATCGCGCGCGATGCCCCACCGAGATCCCAGCGAAAAGAAGAAATGACACGAGCGGGGGGTCCAGTATGCAAAACGTTTTCCGGCCTCCCTGAATATTGATGTGTAGCCGGCTATGCAAATGAGCGTGAGAATATAGCTCGTGCCGGATGGTGACGCGAATAGACGAACCGGAAGTAAGCCAGTACCCCGCCAGTACGTCTCCCTTCTTGCGACGTGCCCTTTCTTTCGCCGAGGTCGAATTATAGTCGTTGACTTTTCTTGCCGCCACCGGACCTTCCGCAGAGCAGCCACGCGATTTATCAAATCCGTTCTCTTTCTTTTTTCCCGTTCGATGCACCGGATGTGCCGTTAGAACCCCGTTTGCTATATTTTTGACTGACTGAAACGTACCTCCGTGGGTCACTTGAACTACTTTTTCAGTCGTTGATGGCTCCTTTAATTTTTTTTCTTTTTTTGGAAAGGACTTTATTTAATCGCAACTTAAGATTGATAAATTACTAAAATTAATTGCTAAGAAAGTTACTTGTTGCTAAAAGTTATGAGTATTAATACATTTAAGAAAAAAAAAAAAAAAACTATTTTCAACGTTATCATGTACGTGACGTTAAATTGGAAGTAGAATTTTTAGAATTTTTTTAGAACGATAACGATAGCCTTTGTTTATTGAAAATATTACAAAGTGCACGTTTCTTTTCCAAGATCTTTTATTACACCCAACAAAAGGAGAAGACCAACACTTTATAATACAAGTGTAAGTTACGCGCAAGCGTAATAATGTAGAATTTATAACACTGTCTGCAAATTCTCTAAATTTCTCTCAACAAGTCCAGAACGTTTAAAGAACAATTTAATCTGAGATAACGATTAACCAAACGTCTCGAACATATTCGTGCCAGCGTCACTCGAAACAAACCACGTTGAAAGACATTGACCCACATTCGTTCTATCCGAGACAACGGAGCGCAGAGGGATCGTTTTCGCGCGGAATTCATGGTGCAATAACCGCGAGAGTCTGAAGGGTGAAGATTTCACCTTTCCCGGGCGAAACTGGTCCTCGGCTCATTTCACTTAACGGCGTTCACTCCGTTGAAATATCTGCGCGAGGCTGCACAGGCGGTACAGGAAGCCTCGGGGAACAGGACGTAGATAAACAACGTGGAATTAAATATACAATAAAACGCGCGCTCTTGGACAGCGAAAGGGCGTGGTGGGGGTGGAAAAGAAGCGAAACTGCTTTACCGGCTGCGCGTACTCTAACAGCGACATTTCAACCCCCTCCCTATCACCGGACTGGCAGCCGCCCGCATAAATAAATCCAATTGGCTCGAATAAAATGTACGAAACGAAGTCGCGCCAATGGCCGGGTATGTATTTTATTTTCTCTCGTTTCCCTTTTCACCCCGTGTCAGCCAGCCAGCCACCCGGCTGGGTTTCCTCCTTCTCTGTCTATTCTCTCTCTCTCTCTCTCTCTCTGTTTCTTTTTCTTCGTATTCGTCCACAGTACATCGACTGCAGTGCCGTGGCGGCACAGTAGGATAATTCAATCGTGACTTTTTCACGGATTTCCCATCGAAGGAAACACGCCAGTTACGCGGCGGAAAGATTTCGTTTTCTCGTCCTCGCGGAACGACGTTCGGCGTCGTTCTTTAAAATATGTACCTCTGCGGAAGACCCTTCTCGTGCTCGGTGGTTATCCTCGTTCTCCGCGCGTTCGTCTCCTCCTCGATGAATCTTCAGGCGTCTGCGAATGGCTGAAAGGTATTTCGTGTCGTTCGCGTTTTTGATGAAGTTCCTCTGCATGGAAAGTCTTTTTCTGTGAAAGTGGTTAACGATCTGAGAATGATTATTGCGCAGTTACGGTTGTTGTGTACTGCTGCAACTGAGGTTTGCACGCAGTATACTAATTTTCAATAGAAAAAAGTCGCGAAAATATTTGTCTCTTAACATCTTTATACTACGATATTTCTATTTGGTTGTTGTTAATATTCATCAAAAATCGACAACGTGGAGCATAAAACGATACGTCAGGAACATAAGAAATAGAAAGAGAAGTTTCAAAATAACCAAAATAATCAGAAGGATTTATCGCGCGACACAAATTTTAAAAAATTTCCCTAATTCTTCTTCGTGTTGCGCGCAGAATATTTCCCAATATTTTACTTGTGAATCTGTATGAGACTCTTATTGCGAGAAAACGTAAAACTCCTCGCACAATCATTCTCCTCAATCGCCCTCCGCAACCACAGAACACACGAGCCTCTTTAAAACGGCCGGACGAAAACTGGATCACGCGGAGGGAAGATTTCTTCATTGGTAAGGGGAATCTCGTTGAGGCAGGTCACTCCCGTAGTAATTACCTTTTCTCACGGAAGTGGTCCGCGTGGCCCTTCTCAAGGTTCTTCCTTCATCCCCTACAATTAGGCCCTTCGACAATTAAATCGATAAAGCCGCGAAGGCGCCCTTTATACCGTTGTTAAGCGTAAGAAACCTCATCCTTCTTCTCTCTTATACTTCTCTTTTATACAACGAACCGCCGAAGCTGCAGCATGTCATCAAGACCAGAGCTGCTCAATCATTTTTTTCGCGTATAATTTTCGATCCTTCGGAGTTTGATCGAAGTAAGCTTTCAACGTATAATCGAAAATTTCAGTGAATTTAGTCGCGTAACATTTGCTTAGGGAAACACGTGAGTTTGTCCAGTTGAATGATTGATCGCTTATTGATAAATCTTGATGGTCTGTTTTGAGGGATCCTTAAATGGAAATATAGTTTTAGCCTTGTAAGAGAATTAAGGTATTTTTGTTCGTGAAATTTAAAGAGTCGGGCGATGAAAGAAGAAATAACCCTCTGGTCGTTAAATATCACTTGAAAGTAATTTGGAAAACAATCGATTTAATAAATTTTTCATAAAGATTTCTCAGTGTTTCAATAATTTCAATGTGTGTTTTTTTTACTTTCACTTTCCCAAATGAAGGCCGCTGAAAAGAACATTGTAAGTCACTTTTGAATTCTCTTCGTTTTACTCGGTTGTCGAATTAAATATTGAATTTATCAAAATTGATTCGCTTCCTGTTAGAAAGTAGTAAACTTGTATCTCAGAACATAACAAGTTGTTATCTCGAAATTAACACAAAAATATTCCTATTATTTTTCTTCCATGTTTCTCTCCAAACGTGACCCACAACCCCCTGTTGCAAAAATAACATTCATGCTCTTATCACAACTTCCATTCCCTTACACATTCACTCTCACAAAGTACACGGAAAAAAAAAATAAAGAAGAAAAGAAGTCGTAAAATACAAATCTCTGATCAAAGCTGAAAGCACGAAAACAGACCAAACAGTCTCTGTTACATGTTATCAACGATCGTGAAAGAGGGTCAAGTTTTTTTTTTAGATCTTGCTCAAACAACGGGACTGATAAGGGAGCAGGGATATTTGGGAAAAACCGGATAAGAACCAACACCGCCATCTGTTATGGGTGATAAGAACGAGGGGTTCCTTTGCAGTTTCCGGATAAGCCGCAGAGACCGGGGGTGACGTGACGAGCGACGCCGACGCCGACGCCGACGCCATGTGCCCAAAATGGCCGCGGATCGTTAAACGGTCACGCGCAAGCTCCCCAGGGGGTGGTGGGACAGGGAGGGTTGGTTTTAGGGGTGTCCTCGCTTCTTAATAGGATCGAAGAATAGTTACGCCGTCAGATCCACGCAGTTACGTGCGACACCACGCTTTAGGATCCGTTTCCACGAGCGTAGAGAGCAATGACTCAGAATCCTTTCCACGTCCTTCGCTTTGGTACATGGAACTCTCTCTCTCTCTGTTCGTGTGAACGCAAGAGTTGAACGGATTAACATTTTTAAGATTTTTTTCTCATTTGTTTATTTTTTTTTTTTTCTTTTTTTTATTACATAATTGGCGTTACTTCTGATTTCTTTTTTTAGAGGAAGGATATTAAGAAGAAACGAAAATGTTCGATAGTATTGATGTTGATCAATCTTACGAACCTGAAAGTTCCTTCGTTTTTCCTAAAATTGTCTATACTTTGGAAAATTATATTTTCTGATCAAGCACGTAACATTGATTATTGAAAGTTAGAAACAAATGCATCGATTGTATTAATTGCTTGGTATATCACGGCTACTGAATTCTATATTTATAATATACAATTAACTCGTATCAAAAGCTAACTCCATTACGCTGAAACGAAGTTTGCTACATAATCATTTATTGGAAAACAGAATGGGCGGTAAAAATCGTTTGCTCTGTTTCGCTAAAGAAACAAAAAAAAAAAAAGAAAGAATATATGTATTTATTCATTTGATAAATCCGTGTGCAAGATGAGTATAATAACAGAAGGGATAAAATTAGCCAGAAATTTGTTCGACAACCTAGAGGAGAAAATTTTAATAAACCCGTTCGTTTGAGGAATAAATTTAATTTTTATCTCTTATACGTACGCGGTGTTAATTTTTTGTGTTCTTTTAATATTCGCGGAGATTCGAGGCAGACAGTAATTCATTACGCGAGCAGCCGGCAAATGGAGAACTTTCATTTCGAGGATAATAGAATACGTATATAGATCGGAATATTAATCGGCTGGTACGCGCAAATACCTATTAACAAACATCGCGGATATACCGTTTATTGAAGGCCGAACAAGCTCTCTGAGCGCTTACACATTGTTTAATCGTCAAAATATAATACGAGCGTATCCATAAAGCCAAAGGGCGAAGCCTCGCTTTCATTGTCCCTGTTGAACACCTAAAAATCGAATCGTCCCTCGTGCATTGAAAACGAACCTTGAACAAACGGTCTGGCTTTCAAAGTAAACGATCCAACACCGAAACGCGAAATTGTTTCATCCGAAAACTTGGATATTTCTTCTCTGCGATATCGTTTTTTCAAAAAAGATAATAATGGAACGTCGTAATAGTTGTTATTTGTAAAATGCTGGATATAACGTTTTCGACGATTTTACGAGGAAAATACAAAACTTTGTAAATTGTAATCAATTACAGTAATTTTTAAATTAAATTATAATAAATTGTAATTTTAAATTACAATAAATTGTAAAGCCTGTCAGGATTAATTTATACACTAGTTTCTCGTTTCCCTTTTGTTTTAGTATATTAATAAATTCAAATAAAAGTGTATCAGTAGGAAGAGAGTGGCATTTCTTCAATTAAACTTTAAATTAAATTTCCCGTTTAATTTTTTTCATTTAAAAATTTCTTTCATTTAAAAAATTCGAGTGTCAAATTTTTATTGTCAGTAATTTAATTTATTTATTTTGGCTTCTGTGCCAAAAATACTTTCGATTCTAAGAATACTATAGCGAAAACGTTCAAAGAATCAATCGTCGTATTTATCTAAGAACACTCAACATTATTCTCTTTCCGTTTCACTATGTTCTTTGACATTGGTTAACAGAATTACCGACGAGCGATTTCTCGTTTATGTAGTACGAATTTAGATAAGTGAAATTCAATAATAAATTAACGAGTTCAGTGAGTCTGAAATTTTTGCGTCAGATTTTCCTCTACCTCGCATTGAATCTTCTCTATAATGTTCGCCTTCAGATACTCTTAATCTTACGCGATAGCTAGGTTGGAAGATTTGACTCAATCATGTATTTCTTTCTTTTATTGAACACTTTAGTTTCCTAAATTAGATTCTGGAACACAATAATCCAAGAAAAAGAAAATTATCATATATTTATTGCAACATTCAGACATTTATTTAACAATTGCGCAGTTATTTTTCTTCTGTGCTCAAACAACTTCTGAAGATTAAAACTTAATACTATAAATACTGTGATACTATAAAATTAAAATACCACGAACATTCAAACATAGCTCTCGCTAATATTTATTCCGTTATTACGTACACGAATATATACGATAAATGGTTCTTTATATATACAAAGAACACCAAGCACGACAAAAGTGTAGAGATACCGGAGACAAATGAAAATTGTCTCGCAGTCTCACTGTAGCAGGTTAAGGAACCAATCGTGTACCCGCGATCGTCGTTCGAAAGTTCGACGACCGGAAACACGATGGATGCTCGGTAACGACCACCCAGCGTGTGTAAAACGCGTGTTTCCACGACGAGAAACGTTCGCATTCGAAATTCCTGGTATAACGACAGTCAGCCGGTGACAGAGAACGAGAGAACAAGAGAAAGAGAGAGAGAGAGAGAGAGAGAGCGAGAGCGATCGAATTATCATGTAAGCAACAACGCCGAAGCGCGTTCTACAGGCCTCGTGGCATCGGAACGGAAGTGAGCATCGGAGATCCGGAGGGAGAGGCGTCCGCGGGGTTCGTTGACCGCGGCGGGCTCTGTGTGCTACGCTTTCCGTCAACCTGACAGGGGTCATCGAACCGGTCATACGCCAACTTTTTTCTTGTTTCTTTTTTTTTCTTCTTCTTTTTTTTCTTTTTTTTTTTTTCCTTTTAACGCAAAGGTGGACATTAATCTGAGAAAGGGGTAAGCGCATCCGGCGATGGCGTGTTCGCGCTTTTCGCGTGGACCCTGGGCCCGCACCGTGTTTCTTTCGAACAGGCGCGTGCGCTCGCATGCCAGTAATTGCAAGTGTACACTTGCAGTTCGCACATGTCAAACGCGCATTGCAGTTGGGCGCATCGGTTGGCCGACACCATCTGATGCTTCCCCGAGTTTCTTGCCCCGAGAGAGAAAGGGTTTCTTTCGGCGAGCGGGCCTTCTCATTCGACCGAGCCGATTTAGGGGCTGCTGCCGAAAATGTCGTTCACCTCGTCGCGCGAGCACGGCAAACCGCGTGTTTCTTTGCTCAGGCATTTCGACGGGAATGGGCGTTACCTCGGTTTACTCCTTTGCGCTTCTTTTTTTTTTTTCTCCTTCGACTTCTTCTTCCTTCTGATCACGCGATTTTCATTCTCGATCTCGTTGGCTTGCGATTAGTCGATTGCGGATTTCTATCATATTGTGCGTACGACGTAGAAGAAACGTGGAAAGTATAATGCTGTATATAATTTAGTCTAAAATTTTTCACTGACGTCCTATTCTTTTACAGTATAATAACTACTCTCCTTTCTATTTTCGAAGGAAATTCTCGAAGAAACATTGGAACAAGAATATTCAATTGTATTTTGATCAAGAATTTAGTTCTTGATAAATTGCATAATTAATTGAATTGATCGATATTTTACATTAAATTGAATGTTGTTAAATTTTTGAAGAAACATTGGAACAAGAATGTTCAATGTTCAATTTTTTTGGTCAGGGATTTAATTCTTGATAAATTGCGCGATTAATTGAATTGATCCTAGTTTACATTGTTATCGAATTGTTGTTAATTTTATCATTATTAAATTATTTTTAAACAATCAAATCATTGTAATTATCTTTGTAATTATGTGGCAAGATGTACTAAGAATTTCGCGAAACACCATCAACGGTTAATTTCATTGTGTACTAGAAAAGAGACTCCGAAAACAGAAGTATTACTTACTTTTTAAACATTTGTGCGCTTTTCTGTTCATTCAAGAGCGTGTTTGCTGTAATCGCGTTTGAAAAAGTCGATTTACTGCACTGAAAGGATTCTTACGACGCGTAAGTAAGGAACGAGCAACCCTCGAAGTAAGCGCGCGCTTATTGCCCGTGATTATGTCATTAAACCAATTAGAACGGCGAAAAATGTTTGACGTTTTGTTAAACCGTTGTTGATGATTGTCGAATCACGTCGCACGTCGGAATAGAAAAAAAAATCTGCAAGACCGATGACTATCTGTGAAAAGACACGACTGTCGAGGCAAGCTGTTGGTATCTTAGTTACCGCATAATGAAAATTCCTAGTTAATTGCCAACGCTTACGTTCAACAATTGGTCATTATCGATGACGAATGGGATTATCGAGCAATTGTTTGTTATTTGTGCGATCCGAGTCACGTTCGTTATCTGTTTGACGAATCGCAAAGCTGGCCATCTCGTCGATGACTCCTCTATTTTTGAATTTTTTTGGAAAAACTCTTACCATTTTGTTAAACCACGTTCGCTGTCTAATCTTCAATTTTTTTAAATGTCAAGGATCAGCGAATTGATAAATTACAAGTTATAAGTTGTAGATTCCTTTCGTGCAATCTTATAGGTTTGCGTTAGAGAGGATTCACGGTTTATAATTAAAAAAAAGAAAATGTGTTTGTAAAATTTTGCTTGTTTGAGTTTCAAACTTGTTCGCAAACTTCGTCAGTTTAATTACACAAGAGAAACTTTCAAGTCACTGTCTGAACAACGATGAAAATAAAACTTTCAAAAATTCTGCTATTTTTCTATAACCACGAATGTAATATATAATTTTCTTATGCAACCATATCTTTTTTTTTCATCAAGTTTTGATATGAAAGATATTGATACAATTAATAATTCAAATTACTGAATAATATAAGTTACTGTACATTTAAATTTCTAAGAAATGTCGTGACAATCCTATAATTATCAAATAACTGAAAATGGCACTGGCACTAAATTCTCATGTAAAACGCTTGTTATACAAAAATCTTTCTACTCGTAGATGTCATCCTATTTTGAGCAGAACGCGCTGCAAATATTGAATTGAATTTCACTGCTAAATGAACCAGATTCGT